GGTCTTCGGAGAAACCGAAGAGAGGTGGATTGAACAAAGGGAAGACAATGGGACTAGTCTTTGTTGGGTTAATAGTAATGTTACAAATCTTTGTTGTTGGTTTCTTGGTTATCAAAAGAAAACTTCTTCTCAAGTTGAAAGACACTCTTTGATTGCTAATTAGTAGAGTCAAGAAAAAAATGTAACATTGTTTTTTAGAAATTCTGTTAATGATTGCACAAATGTGTTTCCTTCTTTGAACATGAATCTAATTTTCACCAAAATGATTTTGGTTTCCACTTGTTAATCTTTTAGTCCCTTTTCAAAGGCTTATTATACTCTCTGCAATGTTTAGATTTGATGTTCAAAGTTGCATCAATAGCAAAAGACTAATAATTGCTTTTTCTTTTCATTACCAAACTCAGAAATCAAGAACCAGACATAACCTTAAGATTCTCAGGCAATAACATGTAATCTCAGCCAGTTTTAGGTACCACATTTTTGTTTTTATTGTTTAGAAATTGACATTTATGTACAAAGCAAACCAAGTTTTTGTATACTAGCAATACCTTCTCTTCGAAACCCGATATTCGCCTTTCTTTGTTTTTGCTCTCTTCCGGAATAAGAAGTATATGGAACCTGCGTTTTGTTGTTGTGGAAACAGACTAGAATTGGTTTTCCTTGGGAAAGACAGAGAAATCATATGCAGAGTGGTGAATCTAACGACCCGAGAATACAAGTACAAGAACGGCGATCACAAGTGCAACGGTGAATATCAAAGCCTGCAAAAAAAAAAACCACAATTTCGTAGCAGAATTGATAAGTTGGTAAATCCTAATTTTGTCATTTCCTTTTAACTCGAAGATTCATGGGATCCGATAACTCACAGCTATAGCAGAGGCAGCGAGACCAGATCTTTCACGTGGATCTCTACGGTAATAGTTAGTGAAATACAGAAATGTTGCAACGTACCACGCAAATGGGAAGACGAATCCAATAAGAAACCTAACAGAAACATATAAACGAATCCGCTTCAGCAACAAAATCCAAATGCCACAATCATAGATCAAAAGGAGTGAGTGTGTTTTTACTCACGAGAACCATCCGATTCCACAACCGAAACAAGGAAGAGGCTTATAGAAATGTCCTAACTCAGTATCCTCACCATCATCGATTAGTCTATACTTTCCTTTCTTTTGTTCCTCTAAATCTGTTAAC